TAGAAGCCTTAAATACCAAGTGGAATAAGCATGATTAAGTGGTGTATGGATTGATTTTTGGAAGAAAATTCTCCTAGGGTCCTATATGTATATTTCGGCTAGCCACTGTTCATGCTACAGGAAATTGTTTTTCATTGATTTGATGATTCTAATGGGTTTAAAACATATTTTTGTGTAGGGATATACTCTTGGGAAGTGTTTAAAATCATTGGAATCAAAAATAAAACTTTTGGAAGATTATACCCCCCATTTGGCCAACTCAACTTGAAGGGGAAGGAGTTTGATTTTTAAAAATCTGATTTCATATTTGGATTTCTCATGAAAAATTGTGTAAGAATGAGTCATGAGGTTCTTGATTCTAAAGGAGGAATTATTTTGTTAAAAATCCAAGAAAAAGGAGAAAATCGTTAAGTTAACGATAAAGTGTTATGTTTAAATTGTTTGGTTATTAATATAGCCTATGTTTATACTTGAATTAATAGGCTTTGTGAGGAGGAATCAAAGAAAATCATTATCCCTTGAGGAGACCAAGCTAATCAAGTGATAAAAGGTAGCTTTGAATTATAATCTGATTGTTTATCTTGCTTGTTTAATGTGATTTGTTGTTTGCTTGGATTGAGGAACTTGTATTGTGATTTTAGTTGGTTGGATACCCTTCATTTATGCTTTGGCCAAATGCATTGAATTATGTTAATGTGAAAGTGTTAATGTTCCTCTCCTAGCATATTGTTGGATATGATTTTACATCGCTTGAGGATGTCTTGATGTTTATAACATGTCACATTGTAACTTGCTTGATTGCATGATAATTATAATTCAAATGCTACTGAGATTTCTATGAAATCTTATTCCTCCTATATTAAATTATGTCTCAAATAGAGAATTGCTCATCCATGGATCAAGGCAAGGAATTGGCGCTAGGATGAAAGAGTATTGTGAATGTTATGCTGTTTGGAACATTATGTAATGTATTAACAGACTTTATATTAAGTTGTAATGGATTATTGAATGATAATATGTGGTAAATTATATTGGTATGACATGCCCAGGTGTTGAATATTGAGTGGTGCAATGTGAAAAGGATGTGGAAGGAGCTAGAAAGGAAATAAATTCAAGAAAGAGGTAATTAGGGGATAAAAATACCCTAAAAGAGGCTAATCTTGTGATACATAAAATAATAACCAAATGATGGAATCTGGACTTGAAAATTTTCAGGAAAATAGATCTCATTTTCAGCTTTAAAACAAGTGGTAAACCATTAAATTTGGTGTTCTAAGCTAAAAGTTATGTCCTTCCAAACTTGGGCTAAAATACTGAGAATTCAAAAATTGATCACATAAACAATATACCTTGTTGAACTTTCTGGTGCTGTATTGGATGGAATTGAGTCCAATGAATATTTTTCCTCTATAGAACTCTTAGCAAGCTTCACGTGAAAATTGGAACTACTTCGTTTTGATTTTTTTAGAATTAGTAATAAATTTTCAAAGTTGGCCTAAATTTGGATGAACAATATACGGACAAAATAAAAAGAAAAATTTTGAAAATGAAATTTTTCACTCGGAAACATTAGGTAATGCATTATAATGGTTCCAATTAATGTATAATGGGTTAATAAAGGAGGTGTTACATGTTGCCTTGAAATTGACTTGGTTATCTTGTTCTTCTTTCTCTTCCTTTTCCCTTTGATTTAAGAGTAAAACCTTCCCTCCTTTGGTTTTCCTATTTTTGGCCGAATGATGTGGGTAGGGAGGTATTTGTAGACAAAATTTTTGCCATAAGTTTCCCATTTTGTCCTTGTAAATTACTAAAATTCTCATGACCACTTGTCTTATGATCATGTCTTCTACCTCTTGATCATGCCCTGTGTCCTCTTGCCTTTCTAACATATGGTTAAAACCTAATATAAAATTATGATTTAACTTCTTTTCATTATGCCCCTTGAAAAATGACATAATTCCAACCTTGCCCTCCTCTCATAAAATGGCGTAAAAAATTACAAAAAATTAAGAGAAAAAGTTGTCCCACAAAGTTTTAAGTTATTCCACTGTGTTGGTTAAATTTTCCTAGATCCTGTCTAATCTAGAAGCTCCAAAAAGTTTTTTATCTATGCCATCAATTCTCTTTATTGAAGAGAATTTTATCAATTTTTTAGGTAAAAATTCAACTTGTAATTTCTTCTATTCAAAAATTTCCAAAATAGGTCTTTTACAGACATAATTAAGCTTTAAATTATTTTAAAGCTAACCTCTGCACTTTTAGAAGTTGGGAGTAATTTTGCAATATGTTGTAAACTCTCAACTAATTTTCCCCTTTTTTTGAATAATTGATGCCCCTATATATTTAAAATAATCCTTAAAATGCCTATAATTACAGAAAGTTCTCTAATAAATTATTTTTTATCCTATTTTCACCTTTTAGACCTTAAATATTATTCTAGACACTTTATTCTATTTTTCATAAATTTTCAAAAAAATTTAGAAATTTTGAGCATAATTTCTATTACCGTCGTTCCTTAACTGGAACTTTTTAAAATAAAAGTCTTATCTCTACCCGAGTTTCACTTCAAAAGTTGTTTTATTTCTACCTCTACTATTTCATCTGGCCCTTGATCGGTTCTAAATTTCTCATTTAATAGATTAAAATTAATAGGATATGACATTTTAGGGCAAAAAGGTGAATGTCTCGGGTTTGTCAATGGAAGTAGCACAAATATGGGTTAGGGAGGTGGTTAACTTGTTGTGCTAGGTGGATGAGCTAGGGTAGAGAGGGATAGGGAAGGTAGTGAACATCTAGAGCTTGGCATTAGAGAGGGCATAGATGTGAAAGGAGGAGTTGTACCTTTCACTTTTGACGGTGGGGGAGGCATATACATTGACAGGGGTGGAGTTAAATCTCTCAGTGTTGGTGCTGTTGGGGGCGAGGATATCAGTAGTGAAGATGATGAACCTCTAGGGCCTGGAGGTGCACATGGCATTGATGGGGAAGGAGGCGAACCTCTTAAGCTTGGGGATGGAGGAGTCATAGGTGTGGACAGGGGAGGAGGTGTACCTCTTGCTTTTGGCAGTCGAGGGGCCATAGATGTTGAAGGAGGAAGAGTTGAACCTCTCAAAGTTGGTGCTAGAGAGGCATAGCTGTGGAAGATGTAGGTGATAAACCTTCAAGATTTTGTAGTGGAGGTGGCATAGATGCAGAATTGCTTTAAAAAAAAAACTTGAGATATCATTTGTAATTTTTAATTTGAGATATCATTTCTTTGAATGATGGTAATTTGATTCCAGGCATGCTTTAAAACATTTTTGAAAGGATTAAGTATAGAACATAACGCTAGTTGTTAACAGTAGGAGCATCAATCCTTAAGATATAACTAGATTATTTGTGGCCATAATACTCACATTTGATATTTATTGGCATCATTCTCACACTTGTTTTTATGACTGGGTTACGTTTATCACTATGAAATATATGTGCCCGTGCTTGCTTTCATAGTTCACACTTGATTGATCTTGTATCCTCATGGATTGTGTGTCCATGCTTGTTGCAATCCATTATACATGCAATTAAAATCCTACTTGAACAATGAGTTTTTCAATTTTTATGAATCGATTTTTATAAACAACTTGTTCTATCATTTATTTAATTTTGTTCATTTAATAATCTTTTATATAATTTCATTTGTTTTCATGATTGTTCACTTTAGAAGTTGAACATAATTTTCATGTCTTTAGTATACAAAGTCACATATCTACTAAATTTATTTCTTTTGCTATTTCGTTAATTTCTAAACAAGACATTATTCATTAGAAAATATTTTTGGCCTTAAATACTGTAGCTAACCCAACACCTCCGGCAAATAATCAATACGGGGCTTTATTATATATTGTTAAGTCAAAAGCTTGTTGATTCGTTATGGACAACTTCTAATCAATATTGTAAGTTTAAACTTATGTATTTAGTTTTGTAATTATTAGGTGCTCCATGTAGGCTAGATGTGTATATAGTATTCGTTCTTGTGAATATATTGTGGTTATTAGTTGGCATGGAGGGCTTCTCTTGACTATACCATATTGTGTAGTTGCTAGAATTTTTCAAAGGTCCCACTTTCACAAGAAATTCTATCAAAATTTCCACCGGAAGCTTGTAAATTTTGTTAAAACAAATGTATCCAAAAAGTTTATGTTTTAATATAGACTATAAACAATAATGAGAAATTCTATATATTCTAAGTTCAAGGGATTTAAGTGTTTTATATAATGAGCTGATTTTCCTTAATCTTAATATAATTAACTGGAAAGCATAATTGAGATTTTCCCCCAATTATGAAAGATAGTTTGTAATGTTAACTATGAAAAATTGTCAATACGAAAGCGTAATGTTTTTAGTAAGCATAGTAGAGTTTCGGCGGCTTGCCGGTGTGAGAGGGGGGCTTAAGATTTTTTTTTTTAAGTTCGTAAAGGTAATATGGTCATTCTATCAAATTATAAAATTCCCATTTGGTCGTTTGTAACTAAAAGGAAGTTTCTCCTCTTCAAGTGACTTTTTGGGATTTCCAAATCCAACACAATCATTTTTCTATCATTTTCCCATATAAAAATTAAAACAAGCCAAAACAATCTTAAAAGCAAAATACTATGCTGTAAATGGATATATTATTCAAATTCAGATTACATCGGACAAACATAGCATAATATAAAACTTCATTTATTCATAGCACATTATTACACAGTAACATAATATTGTAAGGTAGGTATAGGTATTATTGTATGGTAATATATTATGGTATGATCAGAAATGATAAGATGGGAATGACCATTGAGATGTAAATATGCTTCATGGGATATTTGAGTTTGTGTTTGGTAGATCATAGACAAAGGAGGACTAGTGCATAATGAAAGAAAGTGATATATAGTGAAACTAAGGTTTAGAGCATACATATAGAACTGGGTGATGTTGGATTTGATCAGAGGCAAATTCGATGGCCAAAAATTGTGATGCATATTATGTGTTGGGAAGGTGGAGGTGGAGCATTTAGTGGAGGGGGTTTAGGTGTTGATGGAGGAGGTGGTGATGAAATTCTTGGGCTAGGTGGTGGAGGTATGGATGTTGATGGGGGAGGCGGCGTACTTTTAGGGATTGGTGGAGATGATGAACTTTGCAGTGAAGGAGATGGTGATAGTGATGGGCTTGATTTAATTGGTGGAGAACGATTGCTCGGAGAAAGTAATGAGGAAGGAGAAGGAGATAAAGGTAACAATTGAGAAGGACGAGGTGCAAATATAGTTGGTTTTGATGAAGGTGAAGGAGAAGGAGAAGGAGATGGTGTTTGCGAAGAACTGGGACGTAAGGAATTTATGGCAAATGATGGTGAAGGGGAAGGAGGAAAAGATGATGATATGGAAGGACGCGGGGCTATAATTGGCATTGAGGGTGAAGGAGAAGGAGATAATTGAGTTTTTGTTGAAGGCGATGGTGAAGGAGATGGACTTGGTGATGAACTCGAAGGTGGGGAGTTATTATTAGCATTTAAAGGTGAAGGCGAAGGGAGAACAAGTGGTTTAGACTTTAGAGGCTGATGAGGGAGAAGGAGATGGGGTTTGTGATAAAGAAAGATGAGGTGAAGCGCCAATTGAATTTGAAGGAGTTGGTGAAGGAGACACTGATGATACAGAAGGAGGAGGTGTGTTGCCAAACGATTTTGGTGGCAAAGGATATGGTGGTAATGTAGTAGGAGAGAAAGACTGTGGTGAAGAAAGCGATGGAGATGGAGAATGTAAAGGTGGCGACCTAGGTGATAAAATATTTGGCGATGTTAGTAGTGAAGGCGGTGGTGGCGGTGAGCGGTTATTAGGTCGCGTAGGACGGGAAGGAGTTTGTAGGGGTGGTGGCCGGGGGTTATTAGGCTGCGTAGGACGAGAGGGAGTTCGTGGGGGTGGTGGCCGGGGGTTATTAGGCTGCGTAGGACGAGAGGGAGTTCGTGGGGGTGGTGGCGGGGGGTTATTAGGTCGGGTAGGGGTGGAGGCTTTCTTAAGAAGTAAACATACATTCGATGACAAAAAGTTTGATTCAATTAAGTCGGTTAAACATGGATGACATATATATAATAATATCATTTTGCTTTTTATATGTTAATGAAATAAGAAATACTTTATAATTAAAATAAAAATTTCAGTGCCTTTACGTGCGTATCATGTAGTCTTATTAGATTAATGTACATTTTGACGGCATAATCTCATAATATACTACATTTAATTCTTAATATAAAATCCGGTTGACTAATTTGAAGATATTAACAAAATTAAATAATGACTTAAGTATAACATATGTTATAAGATCTCTTTAAAATAATTATGTGTATCATTAAAAATAAATATATATTTTTTATTTAACTTTTTCTAATCCTTATAAATTAGTTGATTGTGTCTTATATTAAGAATCGGACATATTATATAATTACATATAGTTGACAAGTGTTGCCGGGGATATGTTACTAATCAAAAGAGCTATCATCAAAAACATAAAGTAATATAGTTATATTAATATTACTATCCAATATTTGATTTTAACTTGAAATAATTCAGGGTCATATTAATCAATCACTCAAATTAATAATTAAACAAAGCTAACAAAATCATATGGTCCGAAAAGTAAGTTTAGGTATGGCTTTCACTGCCAATTTATAGATTACTAGATAATAGAAGGTAGATTTTGACTAACAAGTCGTTGGTTGATATAGTAAATAATCTCACTTCTGTAAATAGAATATTACAAGTTCAAATCCAAAAAAAGCACACATGTTAGAAAGACTTTAACTTTAACACTCTCAATTTGATAGAAATTAATCTCGAGTCTAAAGTAACTCAACATAATTTGAGTTACCCAAAAAAAGAAAAAGAAAGAAAGAAAGTAGATTTCGAACTAATAATGTCCATATTCTGCGGCTTAATGTCCTTTATTTTAATATCAAACAACGTATAAGGGAATCAAGATCGTTCCCCAAATAACTAAAATTAAAGAGATTAGGCACAAACTAAATTCCATTTCATCTTAATTAAACTAATCAATTTACGGGTGAATTGTCAAAAGAAGCACATTCAAGTGCAATTAAAAGCAATGAGATTAAGATTAACTCACAGGGAAGGCAAGCAATTAAGTGACGCTCTAAGAATTATAATCCCCTCTACACTTTGCGATTCAATTTCTCCTGGTTATTGAGCTTAATTTAAACTTTAGAATCAAGGCTATTACTTAGATATAAGTGTCTTTAAATGCACCTATACGCATATTCTAACTTCATTCTATGATGCCTTATATGAAAATTTGAGATTCAAATAAGCACATACAAGCTTTATCATGATGACTTAGGGACCTTTAGCATCTTTCTATCTCACAAAATGGAAAAATTGAAAAACTATAATCCTTAAAGCTGCTTGACCAAATTTCTAAATGCAACTCCCTTCTTCCAAAGGCAAACTGCAACACCCAAATCATACACTAGAGTTGGCCATCCACTAGTATGGAAAAGAGAATTCAAATTAAGCAAGCATCATCGCATTAAAAAAAGCAATAACTAATGAGAAACTTACACTACCAAAAAAACATCCAATTACTAATACAATTACCAATAAAAAAAATTCCATCGATAATTTCTAACAGAAATTGTGTCAGTAAATTTACTGACAGAATTTGTCATGGATTTCTGATGAAAATTACCAACTGAATTTTTTTCGTGGCTAATTTCATCAAAAAAATAATTTACATACGGAATTAGCCATGAATTTTACAGATGAAATTAATCCTATTGGTAATCCATTGGTATTTAAAAGTTTTGAAATTTTGATTTTTATTATAAGATGATAATAATTTATTTCATACTCCCTCCATCTCTTTTTATGAGTAACCTTGGACTCCATTACATAGATAAAAAAAAAAAGATAATAAATGGGTAGAAATTGAAAGTTCTTTCTACAAAATATCCTTATTTATGGGGGGAGAGTATAAGAAAGAGGATAAGAAAATTAGTATAATAAAGAAAATTATAAAAGAGAGAATATATGATGGAGAGAGATGATGGTTTCAAAAATGAGATGATAAATATATTGAGCATTAAAATAAGTAATTAATGGGGTAAACTCGGAAATTTGCTATAAAAATTTTTAAACAAGTTACAAATGTTGCTTATATTTAGGGACAAAAAGGGAATGATAATTATCGCTTATAAGAAGAGACATAGAGAGTACTAAATTTACTAGCAGTTTTTAACAACCACTGCAAAAAGGTGTTAAAAACCACTACAAATACGTGTTAGAGGTCTCAGAAAAGTACAATATTTGAAATGATTCTCTTTTAAATTTGTATATGAATCGCCACAAATGTAGCGCTAGAGTTTTTTCCTTTTTAATTTGCAGCAATTTCTATAACAGGTACGAATGCAATGAATTATTATTATTTTCTAACTAATTTTATTTTTATTTATCAGGTATTGAAAAAATTGTTATATCATTAAATATTTAGAAAATATTGTTAAAATTTTATTTGTATTGTGTCCACTTTGTTACTTATTTATGTAATAAAATTATAATTTAATTATTTAAATACGTTTTGCTTAAAAAACTATTTAAGTGTGTGAAATTTTTTTTCAAATAGATATTTATATAAAGGAGTAGTAAAAATGTTTAATAAATAGAAAGAGAAAGGATTCTCTTGTGGTATCAGTGGTACAAGTCTATAGAAAAAAAAGTTACAACAATATGTGTATGAAATAAATGTAATAAGGATGAAAATGAAAAAGGAAAAAAAAAAAAAAACTAACTCTAGGGAAGCATTGAGGCTAAATAGAGTGTAGAATGAGAAGAGAAGAGAAGAGACGGAGGAGAAAGGTGAAAATGGAGAAGAGCATAAGAGAAATAGGGAAAGGGGTATTTATAGTAACTATGCGACACGCCTACTAATATCTGCAAATGCGAAAATCGCAGTTCTATCATTTTGAGTTTTATAAAATTTTTAGTAAAATTTAATATATAAACTCAAGAAATAAGGGAAGGGGGTATTTATAATATGCACAAATCACATACTTAGATGCAAATGTGTTGCGAATTTGTAGTGATTCTATTAGAACTGTTAGAAAATCGAGTTGTTTTTCATTAGCAATGGTTTTTTTCCCTTGAACCACTACTAATGTCCCCAACTTCTCCTGCCATGTCATGCTAACTCACTACAAAAAAAAAAAAAAGACTTTAGGCGATGACTTTCGGGCTAAAAGTTCACTTTTAGCGGTGACACTAAAAAGTCACTACTAAAGCAAGACTTTCAGCGGCAACATTGGCAACAAAAATGTCGCTACTGAAAGTAGACTTTCAGCTGTGACTTATTGTGTCGCCGTTGAATATAAGACCTTCAATGGTGATGTAATCACAGAAGGGTTCACTTTCAGCGGCAACCTTCTAATATCGCCACTGAAAGTGTAATATAATAATATATATATTTTATTTTACAATAGTAATAAACAAATTCAATCCAGCTCAACGGTAAGAAGATTAGACACGAAAAGAGGCGGTCACAAGTTCGAACCTTGAAGAAGACACATTTAAGATGAAAATATTTGGACGGTGACGTGGAGGTGGCTAGTGATGACGTGGTACCTGGTTAGTGATGAGGTGGGGCCTCGGTGGTGATGATGTGACGCCCTGCGGTGATGATGTGGCATCAATAAAGCCAATTCTTCTTGGGCATCCTTTCAGCAGCAACTTTTTATCTTGCTTGGAAACATATCAGGGCGGCATTAAATATATGACGGGTTACCCGATATTGTAATAATCGTTGATCAGCAAGAAGAACGTCACATCTTGCCAAACTTAGCATTGATAGAAGGGATGAAAAATTTGGCTAAGAGCCAATAGGAAAATAAGATTGGCTAAGAAAACTTAGCATGGTGTGAAACCCAAAAAGGATTCGAATCGGCACTTTCAAATTTATTAGTCTAGGAAGGGCAAAACGGAAAAAATTGAGAAAAATTCCAGAAAATTCTTGAAAAATGGGAGAAGTATAAGCTAGAGGTTTGGGAGGTTTGGTTGAGGCCCAAAAGGTGAAATTATTTTGAAAATAACTTGTTATGGAATTTCCCGTAAACGGAGGTTTTTTAGGAAAATATTAGAAAATTGAAGAAAAATAATTATTTTAATTAGTTATAGGCCTCCATAAATCTGGAAAAATATCAAAAAACCATCTAAATACTTGTTTGAATTTATAAAATTGGTTTTTGGCCTTGAAAGCCTAGGAATTAATTTTAGGGAATTTATTTTCCTGCAGATTTACAAATAGAGGTCTAATCGAGAAAAATTCAAAATAAATACTAGAGGTGGCAAAAAATTCTGAAAATTTTCAGATTATGTTCTCATATTAAAAGGTGAATTATCATAAAGAGAAATAAATTTTTGGAGGTCTAAAAAAATTA